CGAAATAATAAAAATTTACAAATAGAACACATAATCACATCTACAAATCAACCAATAGCAGTCGAATCGAAAACTACATAGGCAAATCTAGTGGGAGGACATCTCTAATAGCACCACAATGCATTACGTCTCTTAGAGTATCCACAATGCTTTGGGTCTCTTTTTGTATATGTGGCATATAATTGGACTTGAGTTTTAAATGACTTGGACAAACCCAAGTAAAAAAACTCAAAAACTTTGCAATGCAAAAATAAAGAGACTTGGTTTAGCATACATGTCAACCAATAGAAATGTTCTAATATGTTTTATTCATTAAAAAAAATTAAATTAAAAACAAATGATGAGTGTTTGGGTTTGTACTTGGGTTCAAAATAGACCCAAGTGTGGACTTAATCTCTTTTTTTCATTGCCACATAAGCTAGACCATGTCCACTTTTAATTGCATTGAGAAGTATTTTTTTATAGACTAAGTCTATTTCCCATGTGGCATGTGATTTTTTGTTAAGAGACCCAAAGCATTGTGGGTGCTCTTAATAAAATATCATATGCCACATAGGAAATAGACTTAGTCTATAAAAAATGTCTCCCACTGCAATTAAAAGTGGACATGGTCTACCTTATGTGACAATAAAAAAAAGAGACCAAGTCCACACTTGGGTCTATTTTGGACCCAAGTATAAACCCAAACACTCATCATTTATTCTTAATTTAAATTTTCTTTTAATAAATGAAACATATTAAAGCATTTTTATTGGTTGACATGTATGCTAGACCTAGTAATTTATTTTTGCATTGAATAACTTTTGAGTTTTTTTACTTGAATTTGTCTATGTCATTTAGGACTTAAGTCTATTTATATGACACATATGTAAAATTAGACACAATGCATTGTGGATACCCACGAGAATACAAACTCTCAACTGAAAAATAAAAACACCGAAAGTAAATATAGAAAAACACGTAGCATACACAAAACTAATTCACAAACAAAACAAACAAAACACAACCTAATACATAGACTACGACCCTCCCCACGAGCCAGAAGCTCGGCCCATGACACAAATTTAAAAACTCTCTTCATACTTTATTAATAAATATAAATTTATTAGTGTAAAATATCACATTTTTATTTATATGATTTTTTAAAATATGATATTTATTTATTTATCTATGTATATTGAAAAATTATAACTATCTAAGGATTAAATAGATCAAATAAAATATAATATCTGTCTCACCAGAGCCGGCTTTTAGGGGGAGCAGGGTGAGCAACTGCACAGGGCCCCCAATTAATTGGGGCCCCATATATAAATATTAAAATAATATATATATATATATATTAATATAAATAAAAAATATAATAATATATTAAATGACATTCATGTTAGAACATTAATCTTGTTTTTGTTGTATTTTGTGGGTACGAGGACATCTTGTTTTAGTTGTATCGTTAAATATTTGTATTTTATTAATAAAATATTAAAAATATATTATTTAATATTGTAATTAGGGGGGCCTAATTTTATTTTTCGCTCTGGGCCCAAAAAATGTTGGAGACGGCCCTGTGTCTCACCAAAACCATGGGCTCAAAATTGTAATCTAACAACTCTATTATAAAAGCACGAATTGTGAACTCCATAAGAGCCCTTCTTTTTCCCTTTACCTCAAAACACCAGCTACAAAATCCCTAGCTAAACTACAAAGAACGGGGCAAAAGAGGAAAAAAAATGTTGGGCAAAAAGTCCAGGCCGGTGATCGGAATCCTCACCGGATCGCTAATCCCTGGCAATAAAACTCACTCCGACAACAAAACAACTCAATCCCCCAAAGGCCTCAAAAGGAGCTTCGATTACGGCGCTGTCGGATTGGGCATAGCTGCCGCCCTCGAGAGCGATTTGCCGGTCAACAGGGCGCTCATTCGCCGGAATTCGAGCCGATCCAGCCCGATTCCGGTGAGTCCGCCGCGCAATAATCCACAAAGAGGCAATAAATTCTTCGTGGAGCAAATCGAGAGCGAAAGCTTCGAGGAGGAGTACACGATCGTCACGCGCCACTCGCCGAGCAAGCCCTGCACCAAGGTGTACGGCCACGGCGGAAGGTGCGATGGGGAACGCCTTTTCGGAACACGGAGCGGCGGAAAGAGCAGTAGAGCCGGCGTTTTCCACATATCTCCGCCGAGATTCTCCTCCGCCTGCGGCGGCGGAGCTCCGGCGGATGATTTCCTTAGCTCGTGCCATTTGTGCCGGAAAAAACTCCACGGCGAAGACATTTACATGTACAGGTAATTAATTAAATAATCGATCAATCAATCAATCAATTAATTAAAAATTCGATTATTTCAATTTAATATTATGAATGGAAATTGCAGAGGGGAGAAAGCATTTTGCAGCACAGAGTGCAGGTACAGGGAAATAGCGATGGACGAGCGCATAGAGAAGTGCGGCTCAGAAGCTACGAGAGCCGTTGATCTATCGAGCTCCGGCTACGCCGGTGGCGGCAAGATCTTCACCGCGGGGATTTTGGCGATTTAGCTTTAATTAATCGATGATGGATTATTATTTGTATATGATGACCCGGAGTATATATATGATATATATATAACTGAGAAAAATCTCATAAATGGAGGCCTTTCTTTCCTTCTCTTTTTTTGTTTCTGTTTTGATTTTGTTTCACTTTTAGTCTCCATCTTTCTTTCTTTCTTTCTTTTTTTAATCTATTTTCCTTTTTGGATCAATTTTGTTTGAATAATTTTGAGGATGACTTTGTAATTTTTGTGTTACACTTGCCTGTTTTTTTAAAGTACAATTAGCAATAAGGTTTGCTATGACTTTTTTTCTTTCGCCTATGTTCAACATATAAGGATGGAAGCTAAGTTTCGTTGGTTAATCCGATTAATTCATCGATAATCTGGAAGTATGAGGATCTACTGATAATTCTACTTGTTTTTTGGTGAATTTATGAACTGATCGATGATTGATTCCACAAATAATTCTATATTTTCGATTATATCTCACTGGTGAATTCATGATATGATGATGGTTCTAATAATCACTCTACATAATTTTCTGGTATACAGTATTTCACAAGATGGATTTAAAGATCAAACGTGTGGTTGTGTAGCCGTATTGACTGAATCTATTTGGAGTTCATTCATTCAGTGTTCATAAAAGCATGGTTTTCTGTGTAAATACAGACAAAAGACATTAATAGCTGTGAGTTTTTTTTTTCTTTTATTTGAATGAAAATGTGGGGAAAAAAAGTAGTTGCGTGTCATTTCAAGCATATGGAGAAACTCCAATAATGGATGGCAGAGAGAGTGAGAGAGACGCTTTGATATTGAAATGGTCGTTACGTAGAATAGTGAACCTTTTAAAAAATGTGGGATAATGATGTTTGATTGACAGAATATGAAATGTAGATGAAAAAAGATAATTTACTTGAAATATGTAATTTTTAATAAGAAAAAAAGTCACCATGGTTAGTTAGAGCTTTAAACAAATCAAGTCTCATTAACGAGCCCAAACCTAATTTTAGACTTCAAAAAATCCTTCTATATTCTAATTTAGACAATTATGCTTGTAGCAAATATATGCATAATTGTGTATGTAAACATCATAAAAAAATATTTAAATAAAATATAACAACTTTTATACTATAAATTTAAAACTATAACAAGTCAACGACCTGATTAGACTTTCATTACTCACCACATTATTCAATAAATAGCCAT